AAAGAGGCTGGAATGCTAAAATATAGAAGACGCGATATAAATGGCATTAGGGAAACACCCCCGACATCCTTGTGCCAATTTCGGGTGGCTCAAGGTCGACCAATCAGAAGTGAGCTAGGCTTAAGGTCGACCAATCGGAAGTGAGCTAGTGTGTATATGGCCGGTCCGTGGGGGGGGGGGGGGGCGGGGGGGGGGGGGGGACTAACATTTCTATTACCAAATAAACTGCTATCTACATCAGTTTTTTTACCTCTTATGTAAAAATTTTGAGGAACACTGATAAAGACTACATTTGTTTCTGACTAGTGACATGCTCGTCGTCATCATGTGCCTTGCCAGCTGGCTTAGGCGTTCATGCATCTGCACAAATCTTGGTCTTTGCTGTTCTGGATCAGTTCCACTGATGATATTCCTCCATGCCACTGTCTTAAGCCATCCACCCTCATTTCTCTTGGTCTGCCTCTGCATCTTCTACCAGTGATTTTCCCAGTCGTCACGATATTTTTCAGTGCTCCTTTTCTCATCACATGGCCAAAGAACTTTGTTTATCTCAATGAGTTGAGTTAAGTTAAGTTGAGTCAAGAATTGACATCATAGCACTCGGGGCATTCCCATGCATGCACCGTCCTCATCTTCAGCAGCCAGCGCAGAGTTCCAATACCGATGGTACCGGTCACAATCTGGTTATATGTCCGTCTTGTCTTTCCTCTGAGTGTAGTGAGCAGGCCAGACCCTCTGGTTACACCCAGAGGCCTCATTCTCTCCAGGCCATAATAATCTTCTATCTCAACTGATTCCGTTGTTTATCTCCATCTCATTGTTGTATATAATGGACTACTTTCATTAGCCATTGATCACCGTGTGGGTCCTGGGGCCCCATTGTGGGGAAAACAAGAATAGACCCACTGCCTCCCCAAAAGCACGTCTTAAGAGTCGACTAATTGGGGAGCTTCCTTTGAAGTCGGAGTGCATCTGCCGGAGAGGCAAGAAACCAACAGTCTGTATTCAAGAGAATAAGATTTGTAAAACTGATGCACACACAACACCCAGGATCTGGAGCAGGACTACAGTTCAGTAGTGGACGAACAACCAGAACTTTCCGCCAGATTGTACAGCTGGTGAACACGAAGAAGAAAGAAGAAGATTAGCTATTGAAATGTTACTTTATCAAATTATGTCCTGATCAAGACGACGTCAAATTAAGGAAGAGAACATAAAACACGCATGCTTACATTTTACATTAGATAATAATAAAAGGATAATACACTGTTTATTTACCGTCTGCTTTTTGAAACCCTGAGATACGAAACTAATCTCAATACCAAAGTCGTAAAACTACAAACGTTAACTTCAGATTGAAACCCTGAAGAGCTCATCAAAGTTAATGCAATCATGCAAGCTACGGGATATTCCATGTTTATTATGCTTCACAAAAGTGGGGTGTTATGGCGGCAAATATTTGCCGGGGTGCACCGTGCAATATAGAATTTAAAGCGTTAAAAAGATAGTGTCCTGGGCGCCAGGACAGACTGCCTGGAGTGTAAGAGCCACACCCCCCCCCGCCCCAAAGGCGAATGGACGTGGCTTAGTGCAACAAAGCCTGGCATATAATATCACAACGTCTATTCCGAGAACGGAGGTGGAGGCAGTCACTGCTGCCTTCCGCTGGCTTGAGAATCAGCCGTACACACATGCCGTGATTGTCATTGATTCACAGAGCATGTTGAGAGAGATGGAGCTGTCTGCATGCCCCGTGCAGAGTGGCAAGCATCACTGACAGGTCTAGGGTAGTTGGTATCATTTGGATATTCTCTCCAGGTTATGCCTGTGTATGGGAAATAAGCAGGCAGATAGACTGGCCGGTTCTTAACCACTTGGTGGTGAATTGATGTATGACAAGGTAGACGTTGTGAGGGCCCCCTGGGAACGAGTGAACAGTGCGGAAGCGCAAATAGATCATTATGGTCTGAGGAGAATAGCGCTGCGAGTAGTTACCAGGCGATCTGGCCGACGCTCAACAATCAATGGAAGTGCTAGACGAATATACAATCAGACAGTTACTGGTGCCATCGGAATTGGAACTCTTCGTTTGCTGCTGAAGATGGGGACGGAGCGCTTATGGGGGTGTCACGAGTGCTATGATGTCGATCCTTAATTCAACATTCAACATTTCCGCGCCATTGGGCGTATTGGGAAGACAGGGCTAGATCAATATTTTTATAGACCTATCGGCACTTGGTGGTCGATGTGGTCAGCATCACGCCGGTCGCCTTTACTTTCCAGGACTGCACCTGGTACCCACTCAAGGCTGGGTCGACCTGGGAGTCAGGGTCATTTTTGAAAAACAATAAGGTCCAGCTCCGTCAGGACGCGAACCGATCCGCAGGTTGGCGTCTAGTCGCCAACGTCACGGCAACTTCCACATTAGAGAATACAAGGGCAATAATATTAAAGAGACACAACCGGACAGAAGAAAACCCACGAGGCAAAAACCACAAGAAAGAGGAAAGGTTTTGAACAACGGATCATCATCACGGCACACGGGTGTAACTCTTGTAACTCAAGTCTGATTTCCAACTGCCAGTGGATTTTTTAACGTGCGCAACAATGCGCACGGGCGTCCGATCTCACTACCCAGAGACCAGGAGGGATTACTAGAAGTCGAAGTCCACGTGAAAAAAAACGCAGCCCTTACCGGGGATTGAACTCGGAACCTCTAGCACTCGAGGCGGGCACCATGCCTCGAGACCACGCAGCCTCCTCAGGAAGATAAGATAACAGTAACACAGTAGGATACAGACAAAAAGGAGGGGAAAGTAAGTCCAGCATCATGGATAACGCCTTTTTCACTGCTTCCAGCATAAGTGAGTATAATGCGCTGGCCTTTGCTGATTGGAATGTTTCTTTTCCGTTCATCGTCTACTATTGCCCTTTTTTAAAGCTAGCTTATTTCGGGAACTTGGTGAGACATTCCATTGCAAAGACTGTACTTGAAGGAAAATTGTGGGGTAGTCGAAGGAGAGGAGGACAAGGAAAAGCATGGGACCTCAACGACGAGAAATGGACAGGACTAAGGTATCATACATTTATTCAACAGACGAAAGACAGAGTCCAAGTCCAAGTCCTTTTGAGACAAAAATGAAAAGGTCGACCACTTTCAGACTGCTGCTAGCTAGCCGAGGCTGCCAACAGTCTCTGCCTATATTTGTGATCTGTGTTATTTGCGTCACTTTCATGACTAAATTCTAGTATTGCGCCATTGAAGGGCTTGATGCTTCCATCCGGTTCCGACCGCTCGTCCTGCACCGTTGTTATCTGTTCGTTTCTTTCCTTTTCTTATCTGGTGTCTCCTCTTGGTGTCATCTCTCTCTGATTTGGCGAAAGACAGAGAACTATGGTGGGTTTTATGTGTTAGTGCTTTCATCGATACACCTCCACGACCCTAACGGGTCAATGGGTATCTTATATTATCCTTAGCCATAGAATCGCTCTGACATGGTTGACCTTCTATATACAATATTGGATTCTGAAAATGTACATCCTTCATACATCAGGCCATTCTGATATCAGATACCGGTTCTTTATTAATATCCTACCCCAGATGACGTCACATGACAGTCTAACATGTTAGAGGGTGTATGACTGAGTTTCCCGGCTTTCTGATGCTTTTAACGACTCCAAAACATCTAGAGCTGGCCCTAATCCCAACCCACCTACGTCTCACGAGAGACTTCAGCCTAGGTCCCATGAAATATTTGACTGTCCCGTGACCTGTGGAATTTCCCTGTTTGCAGTTTTTTCTTTCTTTCTTTCTTTCTTTCTTTCTTTCTTTCTTTCTTTCTTTCTTTCTTTCTTTCTTTCTTTCTTTCTTTCTTTCTTTCTTTCTTTCTTTCTTTCTTTCTTTCTTTCTTTCTTTCTTTCTTTCTTTCTTTCTTTCTTTCTTTCTTTTTTCTTTCTTTCTTTCTTTTCTTTCTTTCTTTTCTTTCTTTCTTTCTTTCTTTCTTTTTCTTTCTTTCTTTCTTTCTTTCTTTCTTTTTCTTTTCTTTCTTTCTTCTTTCTTTTCTTTCTTTCTTTCTTTTCTTTCTTTCTTTCTTTCTTTCTTTCTTTCTTTCTTCCCTTAGTATTAAACCTGCTTCTAGGTGTGCATAGAAAAAGAAAGATTCCCGACAAGTGGGCCGCGGTAAAAAATATTTGAGACACACTGCCATAGTACATACAATATTGACATTTCAGGTTTGGAGCGTGCGAAATTTCAGAATCTATCTTGAATTTGCGATGAAAAAAAAATGTGGGGGCATTACTTTTTCAATGTCCCTCATTCCAACTTAACTAGCAAAAACATAGATGTATCCGTGCAGCTTGGGAGTCGTCGTCATCATCATCATCATCATCATAAACGACTTCTGCCGTTGAACGCCGTAGGAAGGAATAAATTGCTATCCAATGCACGCTGACTGCCATTGGCTATTGTCATTCTGTGAAAACGTTGAGTGTCTTCAGTATTGTCCATCCATTATTCGCCGCCGTCCTCTTGTTCTTGTAGTCGATCTTCTGAGATCTAGTGCCTGTGATGGTATTTGATCTTGCTGATTGGGAGGCCCCTTTGGAAGCGAGTGAACAATGCGAGGGCGCAGTTAGATCATTACGGTCTAAGGAGAATGGCGCTGCGAGGAGTTACCAGGGAATCTGGCCGACGCTCAACACTTAGGGGAAGGATGAGACGGGAATACAATCAGACGGTTACTGGTACCATCGGAATTGAATTCTTCCCTTGCTGCTGTAGAGGGGGACTGAGCACCTATGGAAGTGTCCCGAGTCCTGTGATGTCGATTCTTAATTCAACATTCAACATTTATTGATCTGGCTGCATTCTAACGAGATAGCGAACCGCTTGGGAGTACCTTTTTTTATGTGGTAATTCTGTGTGAAGAGAAAACAACATTTTACCTTTTAATGTCCCCCCCCCCCCCCCCCCCCCTTTTCTTCAAATTTTCAGGTAGCCTGTACTCTATTAAAGTGCCGCCATTCTACACAGCATTTTCTGGTGACCTGGACTTTAACTACTCGATCCCTGGCAACATGGCACTGCCCAACAGTTTTATTAGATTGGAATACTACAGTAAGGTATGAGTGTGACAATTTTCCTTTCTCATTACAATGTCGCCAAACTGTGATGAATAGAATCCCCGAACTCTCTCATTCTCAGTCATTCTCCCTTTTTCTTCTTCTTCTTCTTCTTCTTCTTCTTCTTCTTCTTCTTCTTCTTCTTCTTCTTCTTCTTCTTCTTCTTCTTCTTCTTCTTCTTCTTCTTCTTCTTCTTCTTCTTCTTCTTCTTCTTCTTCTTCTTCTTCTTCTTCTTCTTCTTCTTTTTCTTCTTCTTCTTCTTCTTCTTCTTCTTCTTCTCCTTCTTCTTCTTCTTCTTCTTCTTCTTCGTCTTCATCTTCTTCTTCTTCGTCTTCTTCTTCTGTTTCTTCTTCTTCTTCTTCTTCTTCTTCTTCTTCTTCTTCTTCTTCTTCTTCTTCATTCTCTTCTTCTGCTGCTTATCCGCTTACTCCTTCTCCTCCCTCGTCCTCCATTGTCTGTAATAAAGAATTACCACAAGCGGCTTTGGAGTGGCTGCTGCTTCGGAGGACTGAGCACGCATAGGTATGCCCAATGTGCAGTGACGTCGATTGTGATTAAAAAAAACATAAAATAACATCTTGTAGGGAGTCGGCAGTCCGAAACCCAAGTTCAAGGTGTCTCCTTCGTGCCAAAGAACTGCATGGCTGTTGGGTGAACAGTCGTTAACGAAGGCAGACAGGTCGTTGTAGGGGCGACGCCTGCTGGTGGATGTAATGTCCTAAGTCCCTTCCCCATCTAATAATGAGGCTACTGCTGGGGTGACAGTTTATCAACTCTCATATAATGCTTCAGGTCAAAATGGACGCTAGGCAATGCCACTTTTTTTTAGCCGTGGCCAATGTTTTTTTTTCCTTCTGCCAGACGGTGGCCGTTGCATTTTTTGCACCATTTGTAGACTGGAAGGATAAGGTTTTGTTGCCCAGCTTCTGAGTTGTGTGCATGGCGTGACACTGTGAGCTAGGTGTGTTTTTCGTTGGCACAGGAGCGGAGCAACTATGGGATGACCCGTTTGCCATGAAGCTCAAACTAGGATTAGCAGGATTACCAGGATCGGTATAGCTCTTCCTTATATCCGCTATCTTGACCTCCAGTATATACTTTGACCCTGTACTACTGTACTTAGTCGCATCACCCATGTTAGAATTGATAACAAGTATACGGGTTTGGATTTAGTTCTAGGCCAGACAGTGTGCAGTCAGCTTGAAGTCTCATAATCCACAAAAGCCTAAAATTATTCAGAAGTTTGTTTAAGGGTTGTGTGTGTGTGTGTGCGTGCGTGCGTGCGTGCGTGCGTGTGTATATATTGGAAAAAGTGGGTGTGGTGACTATGCATCTCTTACCCGCACCGACTTGGAGAAAGATAATTTTCACAGCTAAAGACATGTGCTCTAAATGATCTGAAAGCAGCAAGATCTCAACATAAATACAATATCTGCACTTTGCATCACATATATAGACAGGTATAACTGTTGTAATGTGTACCATGGGGCCTTAAAAGCTTCGTAAAGTCTAGAATAGGGCTTCACCGAGTCTAAATACATCTCCACCTTTATGTGTTTTATTTCAAACTGAAATAAGTCTCCTTTGCGGAGGGTCTCCTTGACAAAGCGCTTGAGCCGTTTGTTGTCTATTTAAAGGTTATATGTTGGTTTCACTGTTGGCGTCTTTCGGTTCATCAGTGCGGTATTTACAGAACTCTTCGCTGGGACTATACAATTCCTGCTTTGTACAGTGCTTTCGACAGGCGGATTGACATTCTGTATGAGGAACCGGGCCATATGGAGTAAAATCTGGGGCAAAAGGCCGGTCCGTTCGACTCCAAACCTCTTGAGTTAAGTTAAGTTGAGTCAAGAATTGACATCACAGCACTCTGGGCATTCCCATGCGTACTCTGTCCTCATCTTCAGCAGCCAGCGCAGCGTTCTAATACTTATGGTACTGGTACTTCAAACCTCTCTTCAACTGCAGTCTTTTGGGCCATTTTCAGCTCGCAAAGAAGTCAGACAGAGGTTTAATCGTGTTATAGCTGGCACCCTCAGTATGGGAACTCTTCATTGGCTACCAAGGAAAGGGTACGGAGCACCTGTGGGAATGTCCTGAGTGCGATGATATCAGTTATTCATTAATTTATCTATTTATTCAGGATTTTTCTTGCAGAGTGGCAAGCATCCTTTCACTGGTTCTGGGTAGTTACAGTTCTTCTGGTCATGCAGGAGTGTTGGGTTATGAACAAGTAGATAGTGCAGGTTTTGCACTAATGGGCGGTGAATGTTTGCGTGACAAGATAGATGTGGTTAAGGCCCTTTGAGAGCAAGCGAACAATGTGGAGGCACGAATAAATAATTACGGTCTGGAGAAAATAGTGAGCTAGGTAGAGTGATCAGGGGATATGGTGGACACTCGGTACTCAGAGGAAGGGCAAGACGGACATACAATCAAAAACTGTCACTAGAACAAATGGCACTGGAACTCTTCGATGGCTGCTGAAAATTAGGACTGGACACTTATGGGAATGTCCTAAGTCTTGTTATATCAATTTCTAGTAAACAGTCAATACTTAGTTGATTCATTCGATTATTCCTGCAGTCATTTGTTCAAACTTTTTAAATTGTTCTTGTCTTTCATTTCACAGAATGCCAGAGATCATATGATCATTACCACAATGGGCCTAAGACTTGGCTTCAGTTCCGGCAGCTTGCGGGTGGCGTGCGGCGTCATCGAATTCGCTGGCAACTTTACTCTGAGAATGTACACACGGGTCAACGGGGACATCTTGACAGAAACCAGCCTCGATGTGAGGTGGCCGGAAGTGGGATTGTCCTTACCAGACAACCACGAAGCCCAAACTTCGTCTGTGGAGTTACGGATCATCTCCAGAGCAAACTGTTCCTCTCGCCTTCATCGTCATTTGATGCAGGTCAAACTACTCTTTCAGCGAACACACAAAGAAGAACGGCTTCTCAACTTGACTGCATCTCCTGTGATTTATGTAGCAAACTTTACCTCAATTAATGCTCCCTTCACAACAGTACCACTAGGATGTTATTTGTTTGACCTTGATGGTATTTACCAAGCTGTTTTAGTTTCCAGTTTTACTGACAACCCTTTGGTTGCGGCTAGCAACGTGATGACAGTCAGCTGGAGTAAAGGTTATCACATCATATTAAATTCACAGAGTGCCTTTCCCTGTCAGGATTCCATTTCCCTTATGTACACCCACCCACCTTGTTCTGATGTAGACAAAATTCGACTGTATGCCTATTTGCCAACCTCTAGTGGCAGTCCAGCATCACCACTGGAGTCTGTCTATGTCACAGAGGTCATTGCCAACCCTGATATGTCCCGGAAGTCTTTCAACTGTAAGCTCTTCAATCAGTCGGCCAGTGGTTTTTGCTTTGTTTACGTCAGTGTAACAAGAGGGGATGTTGTTTCGGAACAAGCGAAAGCTTGCATTCCTGCCCAGCCGGATTCAGGTAATGTAAAAGTTACGTTTTTATGTGTGATAACAGGCTGCCTGATGTAATGTATACATAATGTATTATTTTTTTTTAGCTGGGTGGTTCTGATTGCAGAGCAGTGGGCAGAAACCATATTGCGTGACAGCCGTGGCAGTGCTTCGTCTTACTTAGGCAGTCGATCTTTTCTCCAGGCCAAGCTGGTGTGGTGGGTAATGAACAGGCAGACAGATTGACTGGATCTGCACCACTGGGTGGTGAATTGATACATGACAAGGCAGATGTGGTCAAGGCCCTTTGGGAACAAGCAACGGAATCTGTAGATATTGAAGATTATTATGGCCTGGCGAGAATGAGGCACCTGGGTGTAACCAGAGGGTCTGGCCGACTCACTACACTCAGAGGAAAGGCAAGACGGACATATAACCAGATTGTGACTGGTACCATCATTACTAGAACTCTGCGCTGGCTGCTGAAGATGAGGATGAATCATGCACTGGAATGCCCCACGTGCTGTGATGTCAATTCTTGACTCAACTCAACTCAACCGGCTTCTCCTGGTTCATACCAGTTCTGAGTAAGCTGTTGAATGTCAGGTATCCTATGAAATATATGTCTAGCGCTTTATGCCCATTGAGAGACCTTGGCTCTAAGTTCGAGTGGGTACAATCCTGGTAAGTGAAGGCGGCCGGCTTGATGCTAATCACCCACCCTGTGCCAAGGGTCTGTAAAATATAGGTCTAGCCCTATATGCCCAATACTCCTGGAGGTCCTTTACATGCTGTTACTTGTCTGACCGGGTCAAGGATAAAGGCGCCTTACGCACGCTCTGCATCTAAGAGCACTCGGGTATCTGTTTTACTACTGTCTTAAAGCATTTAAAGAGAACACGCAATCTATTGCTATTGTCACCCCCCACGGCCACGTAAGCTTAGGTTGGCCTATTTAGAGAGGGAAGGACAGAAATATGCCCACCCAACTCTAACCAGCGTGTCGTAAAAGGCTGCCATTTGGAATTCTGCTGAATTAATGTGTGAGACCAAAAAGTGCAAATATTGCAGCTTAACTCTAAACTAAACTATATAACATAGTGTGTCAGCCGCTCTTATGAGGGGAACGCTAAAGACTGCAAACAACCTTGAGGCCAGGGGAGATAATTATATTTATACATCTGTAGATTAGTGCTGACGTCCCTTATTTTAAAAACAGGTCTGTTCTGCTGACTGGCAACTAATTTTGACATTTGACTGAGCAAAATAGGTCCATGTTTAGGCAGCTGGACCCTATTGGAGGTGGGGGTACATTGAGCTCCTCCTTACAAACGTGTCATAAAAGGACAGGACAGATATCACAGCTTAGCTGTAAATCACATCATAACATGGCAAGATTTTTTGTTTATTCAACGGATCAATATCATGGCACAGGAGTATAACCCATAAGTGCTTCGTTTTTCTCAAGGCTGAGTTCAGTTTCGTCCTTTTTAGGACGAAAGTTTTTGTCATTTGAAGCCCTACTCTGGCTTTTGCCAGGGGCCGCAATTTAGGTAGGCCATACATATGGCCAAATGTCTGAACGCGGTTTCTGGGACCTCTCCACGGCGATCCTCATCCGCATGGTGGCACTTTGTGTCATCGGGTGTTTATCGCTTGTGTGATGTCCTGGTGGGGTAGAAAGTCAGTCAGTCAGTCAGAGTTCAGAGATTTCAGCGCAATACATAAACTCTGTAGCACCTGCGAGGATCCTCTAAATACTTTGGGTAGATTTTTAACTCAAAGTTTTGTCCGGGCAGCGCCGTTAGGCTTCTCTTCGATTTCCAACTGCCAAGGGATTATTTAACATCCGCAACAGTACACACGGGCGTTTGATCTCACTACCCAGAGACCAGGGAATAATACTAGAATTCCAAATAAAAAAATCCCAGCCATCACCAGGGCTTGAACCCGGGACCTTTAGCACTCAAGGCGGACACCATGTCTTGAGACCATGCCACCCCCAACAGCAAGAAGAAGGAGACAGAATAGGCGAGGAAGTAAATAATTTTTCATATAATTTTGAGTCTTTTTAAAATTGAACAATTTTTGGAACTCGGGTGAGCAAAATTCCTTTTAGTTTGAAGAAGTTTTTATCTATTTCTTTTTGAAAAGGTTTTTATTTTTTTTCCTAATTGATTTGTACTGTAGTTTATTTTTTTTTAAAATTTTTTTTTCAATTTTTTTGNCGCAATCTATTGCATTGTCCCCCCCCACGGCCACGAAAGTTTTGGGTTTGGGGCTTTTTAGAAGGGAAGGGACGGGAAATAGCCCCCCAAATTTAAACCCAGCGGTGGGAAAAGGCGGCCAGGGGGAAAATTCTGCGAAAATTAATGTGTGGCCCAAAAAAATTTGCAAATTTTTGCGTTAACTCTAAAAAAAACATAAAAACATAGTGGTCAGCCGCTCTTATGGGGGGAAACGCAAAAAGACTGCAAAAAAACCTTTGGGGCCCAGGGGGGGAAAATTATACATCTTTTAGTTTAGTGCGGGAGCCCCTTTTTTTAAAAACGGGTTTCGTTTTGCCCCCCGGCAATTTAATTTTACTTTTGGGGGGGGGAAAAAATAGGTCCTGTTTAGGCAGTGGCCCCTTTTGGGGGGTGGGGGTACATTGGCCCCTTACAAACGTGCCCAAAAAAGGACAGGACGATATCAAGCTTAGCTGAAAATCAACATAACATGGAAATTTTTTTTGTTTTTTAAAGGGAAATCAATATAAGGGCCCACGGATTTAAACCCCAAAGTGTTCGTTTTTCTCAAGGCGGGTTTCAGTTTGTTTTTTAGGACAAAATTTTTTGTCATTTGAAGGGCCATCCCTTGGTTTTTGCCAGGGGGGGGCTTTTAGGTAGGCCAACATATGGCCAAATGTCTGAACCCCCTTTTTTGGGGGACCCCCACGGGGGATCCTCACCCGCATGGGGGGACTTGGGGGAACGGGGTTTATCGCTGGGTGATGTCCGGGGGGGGTAAAAAGTCAGTAAAGTCAGTCAAAATTTCAAAATTTTTCAGGAAATACAAAAAACTCTTCCCCGCGGGATCCTCTAAATATTTTGGGAGTTTTTAACTCAAATTTTTGGTCCCGGGAAAGCGCCTTTAGGCTTTTTCGTTTTCCAACTGCCAAGGGTTTATTTAAAATCCGAAACAGTCCCAAAAAGGGCGTTTGAATTCATCCCCCGAGCCGGGGAAATAATACTAAAATTCCAAAAAAAAAATCCCAGCCATCACCGGGGCCCTTTAAACCCCGGGCCCCCTTTTAGCACTCAAGGCGGACCCCAGTCTTGAGACCAGGGCCACCCCCAACAGCAAGAAGAAGGAGACGGGAATAGGCGGGAAAATTTCCAAAGCAGTTTGAAAATGATTTCATTGTCCTTGTAAAATCCTTTGGTATACCATTAAAAAAAAAAAATTTATTATAAAAAAAAATATTTTAAAAAACTTTAAAAAAAAAAGGGCCAAGGCTTTTTTGTTTTAAATGAGCATTTTGTACATTTAATTTTTAAAAATTATTTAATATAAAAACCACTAGGTTAGGATAGATTAGCACATTCCCCCTGTCATATTTTTTGTTATTTTGTAAGAGGCATGTGATAGTCTTGCCATATACTCTGGGGGGGGGGGGGGGGGGGTGTCTTGTTATAAAAGGGGGAGGGGGGGTCTTCCCATATAGTTTTGGGGGCTTTTTCGACCCCCCACCCCCCCCCACCCCCCCACCCACAAAAAAAAGTTAGGAGACCCGTGCTGTACAAGATATTTAGCCAATTTGAACTTATATTTCATGTGGAGAAAAAAAAACAGACACAAATTATACAGTTCTTTTCTTGTATAAATAATAATTTTTCATGACTAATTTTGCATGTCTTTTTAAAATTGCAATCAATTTGGAAACTTCTGGGTGAGCAATATTCACTTTTAGTTATGAAGAAGTTGTTATCTATTTCTTGTGAAATGGTTCATATGTATTTTGTTTCCTAATTGATATTGTACCTGTAGTTTATTTTTGTTTAAATATTTTGTTTCATATTTTGTGTGTCTGGTTATTTTGCTTATTATTTTGTCAGTCTGTGCACAGTGAAACAGTGAATCAGGGCGGTGTAGTGGGCAATTCCAGTTTTACTACATAAATAAGTTTATAGGCATAAGTAAAAAAAATAAGTAAGTAAAGGTCTTTTTCCACGCATGTAGGCGTATAGGGCATATAGGGCTAGACTCAAGGCTGGGTTGACCTGGGAGTCAAATTCATTTTTGAAAAAAGTCCAGCTCACAGCCTTCCGATCTGCACGCGAGCATCTAGCCGCTACGCCACAGTGGCTGCTTATAGACATCAGAGTAAAGAAAATACATAGAGACTGGAACACATGAGCAGTATACGAATTTAAATCCATGGCCTAATTGTGGTTTGGACCTGCTTTTTTGGTGGAGGGGGAGTTGGAGGAGGGTGCGCCAAACATAGAAAAAATGAAGAAGAAGAAGATACTCAGGAAACGTACAAGAACATTTTACACAAAGAGACATATATTGCCAGCCCTATATTTTTATAGCCTAGTTTCCATCAGTGGAATGTGATGATATCACGACAGCTGCCTTCATTTCCAGATTCTGTCTTTATACCCATTTTAGACTAGATTGACTTAGGCACGAACAAGGTCAGCTTGTCCAAATTGTGGTAGGTGTAATAAATCTCTCAGTTCTTTTAAGTTCTATCACTACCGAACAGAGCTGGACTTTTCTCAGAAACGACCTTGGTTCCCCAGTCGTTGAACACTTGACACCCTTCGGTATCCACGCGCTGAACATTCCACGAGGGAAAAGAGTATAAAGGCAACTCAGCGTGATGTTGACTACACCAAACAACCAAGTGCCCATTCGTCTATAAAAAATAGGTCTAACCATTTATGCTAAATACGACTAAAGGCTTGGAAAAGGGCCCTTTATCACAAGCATTGAGCATTTTTTTTGGACTGTTATTATTTACTTTTAAGTTCTGTTCAGTTGTTTCTGTTCATGTATTGTGTTGTTGAGTCGCTCCCAAACAATGTTGACCCACATACATTGTTGATCTAGTGCTTTTTTGTCTCTGACAAGTTATCTTTTTCTTTTCCGAACATATACCCCTACCTGCCCCTGTCCTATCCACAGATAGACAGACAAACACACACAGATCTGCCACATGGTTCAGTGGATTGTTCTTGTTGCATGGGTTCACTGGCTGTAAACCTCAGTGGAAAGACCTGGTTGTTCGCCCATTTCTAGACTTTGGCTTTGTTCCAGGACCTGAGTTTTGCAAGTGCATCCATTCTAAAGATCTTGCTTATTTCTATGCAGACTATTGGTTCCTTTCCTCTCAGGCAGATGCACTCCAACTTTGAAGGAAGCATCCAGTTAGTCTACTCTTAGAACATGCTTGTTGAGCAGGCAGTAAGTCTATTCTGGTTTTTCCCACAGTGGGACCCTGGAACCCACACAGGGAGGTTCAGTGGAATAATTTCTCAGTACTAAGTTGACTGCCATCTTTCCTGTTTTCATCACTTTTTGGATGAGTCTACACCCCCCCCTAAACCACAGTACCTCCCACTATCGATGTCCCATCCCTGCTTGTTGATTTGTGTTCCCTGCTTGTTGATTTGTGTTCCCTGCTTGTTGATTTGTGTTCCCTGCTTGTTGATTTGTGTTCCCTGCTTGTTGATTTGTGTTCCCTGCTTGTTGATTTGTGTTCCCTGCTTGTTTATTTGTGTTCCCTGCTTGTTGATTTGTGTTCCCTGCTTGTTGATTTGTGTTCCCTGCTTGTTGATTTGTGTTCCCTGCTTGTTGATTTGTATTTCAGCAGTTATTGTGTCAGCCACTCTGTCAGCAGTAGAGGTTGTTAACAGACCCATGTTTTGTATGTCCTCCATTAGAAATGCGCATGTTGACATCTGATCTTTACATAGGCTGTTGCATTTCTGTTGTCTTGGGAGTTTTTATATCTTTGATTTCTGAACCCTAAAGGAGCCCACCATGGCGTAGTGTCTAGGCGCTCGCCTCAGGCCTGAAGCTCTTGGATCCAAATCCTCATTGAATAAAATTTCTTCTTAAACATGACCTTGGCTCTCAGGTCGACTGAACCTCTGATGGGTACCAGGTAAAGTCCTTGGAAGTAAATATGGCTGGCATTATGTTGACCACATCACAAACCTAATGCCAATCGCTCTATAAAATATAGGTCTAACACTGTATACCCAATATGCCTAAGGGTGTGGGAAAGGGCCCTTTGCTGTATATCAGTGGTTCTCAACCTTCATAATGCCGAGACCCTTAAAAACAGTTTCTCATTTTGTGGTGACCCCCAAGCATAAAATTATTTTCATTGCTTCTTTAAAACTTCAAGTATAACTTCAAGGATTATGTGTTTTCCGATGGTCTTAGGTGACCCCTGTGAAAGGGTCGTTTGACCCCCAAATGGGTTGCAACCACAGGTAGAGAACTGCTGCTTTATTTACCTTATACTTTTGTTGTTATTGGAATAATCATTGTCTGTGAAATTATGCCTTGTTACATTGTTTACACATGTACTATTTGTTATAGTCTGATTGGCTTAGCCGGGGGCGACACAAGGACACTGACCTGATCCATGATTCTGGTGTTACGGTGATCTTGTGAGATGGCGAAGAATGACAGCCAGAGCTTATGAGTATGACTTGACCTGAATTATTCCTAGGAATATTTCTAGCGTAACATTGACCCAGGAGACAGTTTGCATTCTTTAGTCATATCATGAGAAGGAGGTGACTGGAGTACATCATAACTGTGGGTCAGTAGAGTGGACAAAATGCAGAGGGAGACAGAAAGAGAAATGCTGGACAGTTGGACAGCACGGAAGATCATCTTTGTCAGAACTGATTTACAGTGCACAAGACAGAAGGTTGTGGATAGACATGACTATGAACGCCACAGGACACGGACGATAACAAGAACATTGACACAGAAAAGATCAAAACCTGAAATTCTCAGTAAACATAGAGTGGACAGACTCAAGTCAAAGACAGTGTCGTTTTTTAGGAAGAAAAATATTTTGCCATATTAAATGCTGTAATAGTTTGAAGAAACACTTTGATTAACTGATGCCTGCGCCAAATAAAGGGAAATAAAAAGGAATGAAAGAGTCACTAATGTTAAGCTTTTGGAGAGAACTAAATAAGTTCCAGTGGACAGAGAGGTGAAGAAAAGAAGCTGATAAGATTAGTTTTGGATAGGACACGCGTTGAGAAAACCTGAGAACGATATAAAGAAAATGTCTTTGCACTGGAACCCACAGAGGCATAGAAATAAATAAAGACAAAAACACGCACGGAAACGGGAGCTAGAGAGTGATGTTAAAAAGATGGGGAAGACATTTGATGAGCTGCATGCAATAGTGAAGAATCCCCCGTGTGGGTTCCGGGGCCCTATTGTTGGGAAAACAAGAATAGACCCACTGCCTCCCCAAAAGCATGTCGTAAGAGTCGACTAACTGGGGAGCTTCCTTTGAAGTCGAAGTGCATCTGCCTGAGAGGCAAGGAACCAGCAGTCTGCATTCAATTGAATAGATCTGTAAAACTGATGCACACGCAACACTCAGGTTCTGGAGCATGACTGCAGTCCAGAAGTGGACGAACAACTAGAACTTTACGCCAGAGTGTAAAGCTGTTGAACGTAAAGAAGAAGAAAAAGAATGGCGAAGAATAGAATGACTTGGTATGATTTGGTTTAGGGCCTTCGCTCCATTGGACGATAGATATCAGAAGAAAAGGAATAGTTTAGAGAAGACAGTAATGGGGGGGGGGGGGGGGGGGGGGGGGGGGGGGGGGGGGGGGGTGTTTCTGGAAGAAAAAGATTGGAAAAGTTCATGAGGTGGGACAATTGGTGGGGAGAGCGGTATTCTATAAACGACCTGCTACATGATGATGATGAGGCGAAAATTTCCATACATACAGGCTGTGGACCATTGCCCAGTCTTAACCCAGAAAATTAAAAACAACGATCAGTTGTAATTATCTTAAGTTCTACATCCAAAATTCCCTCAGAGTTTTGGTTACGAAAATAATAACGTTGTTTTGTGATATTTTCACATGTTTCTCAAAGGATGAATCAAATCGCAAATATTCCAGTGTGTATTCTAGGGTGACAAACTGCTGGACGTAAACTTGCCTAGAAAAACCACACAACAGCCAGGGGCTGTTGGGGTTGGTTCTGCAACGTCCTGTAAAGGACTAACCTATTCTAGGGTAAAAAAGGGGGGGGGGGGGGGTGGATTCTCTGCCATCCATAACAAGCATGTTGTAAAGCATGAATACTTAGAGGTTTGTTTAAATCACTTGTGTTGGGCAAAAGGAGCAAGTAATGCAGCCTAGCTGTAAACCACAACACAATCTGTCAGCCGCCTTTTTAAAGGTGATGCAGAAGAGAAAGCAAATAAAGAATTGTAAATTGTTAGCAAAATAACTTTAAATTTTTTTTTTTTTTTAAATAAAACTTCATGGGTAAAATGTTTATTTGAATCTCACCATCATTTAATCTTGATCCTCTGGAACCGTGTGGTGTCGAGGTGAAACATAATTTACGGCAAAGTGCCCATTTGTGTGCTTTATAAATGGGGACTCCCTGGGACTCTGTTATTCCTTCTGTCCACATTTTGCATGGTAAGTCTCTTCTTCGCTTCCGGTCTAGTGTGTACATTATTGCTTGTTACTTTTTTGTTTTGTTTTGAATAACACAATGAACTATAATTTGAATGTTTCCTTTGTTCTCGATTTCAGTTCACGGTAGAAACATTGTTTTAGTAATGAAATAATTCTTTTACTCTGCAGCTTTCCCAATAGATGGCTCTTGGGGAAAGTGGACCTCGTGGACGTCATGTTCTGTGACGTGTGGAACTGGAAAGAAAAGTCGCTTTAGAACCTGCACTGACCCCGCACCAAAACATGGTGGTCGGTTTTGTGTGGGTGACCCTGTTGAGTGGACGCCATGTGAAATTCACTGTCCAGGTATAAACATAAAAATTCTTCTTCTTCTTTGCGCTCAAGGGCTGTAGACTCTGCCCTAAAGTTCAGGTGGTTCAACTGCCTCTGTGGTGCGTGCACATGTGTTTTACAAATGTGACTTATTTGTTTGCAGACTGTTGGTTCCTTGCCTCTCAGACACTTCCACTCCAACTTCGAAGGAAGCCCCCAATTAGTCGACTCTTACAACATGCTTTTTGGGTAGGCGTTTGGTCTATTCTTGTTTTTCCCACAATGGAGCCCCGGAACCCACACACAAAATATATCTCCCAGTATCTGCATTGGGTACAAAAGAAGGGCAGGGGGGGGGGGGGGGGGAGCATTTTGGGAGAAAAAAATAGACCACTGCCCCTCTTTCCCCACCACCAATCAAGCATGTCATAATAGTCGACTAATTAAGGGTGTTCCTTTGAAGTCAGAGTGCATCTCACTGACAGGCATGAAACCAACAGTCTGCATACAAAAAAGCCAGATCTGTAAAATGGATAGACTCAGAAAACTGAAAGTTCTGGATCAAGATTGAAGTCAGCGATCAGCCATAATTTTATGCTTGCCATTTATATCATTTTCTGTAGCAAGATTTTTTTACAGAATCGGGGACCTGGCCCCTACCCAACACTCCTTCTTTCTCATCCAGGCTTGCGACCAGCGATGATGGAGGTGAAAGTCTGTTAGTGAACTAAAAATCTAAATAGTTTAAAACTTACTTTATGTTTTTTTTCAATGGGTCTGGGTGGCATGGTGGTTGAGCTTTGTGCTCTGAAGATTGTTAGTTCAGTTTTAGACTTTGCCCATCAATTTGTGTGTACAGGTGTTTCAGACATCCCTGGGGGATCATTGCTGGAGCTGGGGAGTTTTTGCTTTGTGTAATGCTGTCACATATGACCAACCACTCTGCTGAGAGAAGTCAAGCCACATGGGATAAAACCTGGTGTAATGAAGACAGTGAACCTGCCTTCAAATACATTTTAATGTTTTTATGTACACTTTACCGTCCTGTTCTGTTTGTTTCATTAGCTTTCCCAATTCATTTTTTGAGATTTCTTACTGTTTTCTTGTCTCAGTAGTTTTCCTAATTCGATTTTTTAAGACTACTTTCTGTATTTTCATTTCATTTTCATTTACCAGTTATGTTTTTGTGTGATTGCTTTATGTTTTATTATTTCAGTAACTTTTCCAGTGCTGTTTTTTGAGATTTCTCTGCGTCTTCTTGTTTCAGAAGCTATCCCAAGAACACCCCTACATTCTCCGTCCATTGACCCAGCATGCGCATGCGGATGTACCAGAACAGAAGACAAAGGACAAATCATCGCCACGGGCCGATGCTCTGGACTTTCAACCTGGTTAATTAACAGCACGGAGGGTCATGTGATTGCGCTGCATTTTGACTACTTTAGCCTTAACTACACACGACAGTGGGTCAGAGTTCGTGATGGCACATCCCCAGCAGATACCCTGTTGTTTTCATCATCCACTAAAGGGTATCCTGTGGAGGTGGTCACGTCTGGACCAGCCATGAGGGTGGAGTTGATGACCACCTATGTTAATCCACCACCAGTGTCATTCTTCGCCAAGAATGCAACTCTTCCTATCCATGCCCATGGATTCATAGCGAGCTACGAAGTCAGAGGTGAGAGGGGTCTGGGTTCAGTCCTGTCTGTTGTTAGTTTATGTATGATATGCACATTTTTTTTAAAGCCCTTGTAGATGCGGATTTTAAGAAGAATCCTTAGATTTCCTTTGAAAGCCAAAAGAGCAACCAGATATTTTGAAAGAAGCGAAGGCTTGAAAATAACTTATCAGAAACTTAAGAAAGTGACAGTCATCATTTTCTGGTCATGTTATGAGAAGAAGGAAACTGGAACATATTATGACCACTAAAAAAATCTGTGGAAAGAGAGACAGAGGTAGACAATGTGAGTCGATTCTTGGCAGCTTTTTGTCATGGCATAGAGAGGTTTCAGCACACGAACTGATACATGCAGTGGAAGTTTAAGGAGAGGCATGATTGCCCACACCAGTTGGCCAGGCACTTGATAATGGTGATGATGATAATTTGTTGCCAAATATGAACAATAATTTATGGTATCTAAGTTCAATCTCATCAACAATTAGCAGATCCTTTACAGAACCTCGTTTTTATCACGGCACTTCCTGAAAGCCTCCTTCTCTAGACAATTCTCCTGCTTCAAGTCCTTTCAAAACCAATGCATATTCAGTGTCTTGAATCCACCTTCACGGATACACCTTTAATCGATTGTAATTGTAGTATGCACCTGACGAGATACAGCGAAATATGCCAGGCAATAAATTCTGCAATCTATTGCTTGTGTCTTCTTTGTTCTATTTCCCAACAGGGAACCATTGCTTTAATCATAAAATTGTTAAACAGCTTCACTAACCTCCACAGCCACAGAGCCAGTTATAATTGTCTGTTGTCTTCACAGTGAAGGTTGGCTGTGCTAACTTGGAGCTACTTTATCACAGTTGTTATATTAATGTCAGTATTTCAACTCCATCAAATGCAGCTGTTATTCACTTTTAAAGCAATAATGGTTTGACATAGAAGGTGTTAAAGTAAAACTATACTGTACTGAAAAAGGATGCATTGGCAAGTTTATCCCCAGACTTAACAATTATAATATTCTTAAAAATATAAATCTCCAGATTAGGTAAAGAAAACTTCCAAACTTGCACAATCAATGTTTGAAGAAAATAAGCCACAAACAATAGTTATCAGAGGGCTGCGTGGTCTAGAGGCATGGTGTCCATCTCAAGTGCTAGAGGTTCCAGGTTCACTCCCCGGTAAGGGCTGGGATTTTTTCACGTGGATTTGGACTTCTAGTAATTCCCCCTGGTCTCTGGGTAGTGAGATCGGATGCCTGTGTGTATTGTTGCGCACGTAGAAAAATCCCTTGGCATGTGGAAACTGAAAAGAGTAGCCTAACGGTGCTGCCTGGGTAAAAATTTAGAGTTAGAAGCCTACCAAAAGTAATTTCAGAATCCTCGCCGGTGCTACAGAACCTGTGCACTGTGCGGAGTTTCTTCGGACTCAGACATGAGTTAGAAGAAGAACAGAGCACTTAGGGTTACTACCTGTGTGCCATGATGTTGATCCGTTGTTCAAACCACAAACCTCAATAGTTATCATGTTCTAGAGAAATACAGTTATCAAATTCGATTATTTGTACTACAGCAGATCTCTTATAATTGGATGTTCTGTGTATTTATTGCTACAAAAGTGTGTGTAGAGGGTGTCATAAGTATATAGAACTGCAAGATTACAAAGGGTAGAACTTAATTAGCCAATGGATATTGTGAGAGACGGAACTTCAAGTTCAACTTAAATTATAAGAGATGGATTATCAAAAGAATAAAAGGTAGAACTTTAAGTGGTGTGGGATAATTAAAAGAGATGGATCTTCAGTTTATGAGCAGTAATCATAAGAGTTGGAACTTCAGGTGGAATATGGTAATTATAATGTGGCAAGTATAAGATATAGAATTTCTGATGAAATGTGGTAATTGTAAGAGATGGAACGTCTGATGAAATATAGTAATTATAAGAGATGGAACTTCTGATAACATGTGGCAGTTATAAGAGATGGAACTTCTGATGAAATGGGGCAGTTATAAGAGATGGAGCTTCTGATGAAATATAGTAATTATAAGAGTGAGAACTTCTGATGAAATATAGTAATTATAAGAGATGGAACTTCTGATAAAATGTGGCAGCTATAAGAGTCGGAACCTCTGATGAAATATAGTAATTATAAGAGAAGAAAATTCTGATGAAATAGGGTAATTAAAAGAGATGAAACTTCTGATGAAATAGCGTAATCATAAGAGGCAGTACTTTTGATGAAATAGGGTAATTTTAAGAGAACAGAACTTGGAGTTAAGTATGGTTAAGAGATGGACTTAAGGTGATATTGGTAAATTATAAAAGAAAAATCTTTAGGAATATAATAAGTTGAATTTCAAGTGAAATATAATGTGTAAGAGATGGAATTGTATAGGCAGTGTGAATAATTATCAATGATTAGACGGACACAAGGTTAGACAAATATTTGGTATATGAGATGAAGATATTTTCTGATTTACTTTTCAGCCATCTTGGTCAGCAGCACAGCACCCGTGTTGTTTCAGCACAAGGAGCAGACTGTCCTGAGCAGCACCATCACCATTGTCGGCATCGTCATCTGCACTGTTGTCATCATCGTCGCCGTGGTTTTCGTCATCATACAACGCACTTTCTTCCGGCGAAGGGTCAAATACACCATGACATCATCAGACGATAGCCCAGCCCATCAAAGTCAAAATGTGGGCTCCAGTACAGAGCATCGAATATCCAGCGCTCAGAGCAGTAGCAGCCCCAGTAGTCCTGGCAATGCCATCCATGTGGATATGGAGGTACCTCTTACTGGGAAGACTCAGAGACGAGGCAGTGGGAGCAAAATCTCCAGAGCTTCAAGTTCGACCAGCATTGGCAGTCAAAAGATGAAGCGATTAAAATCAAAAGGAGACGCCAACTCTTCAAGTAAGGGAGGTAACAAGAGTCCCAAACCTGCAAGTAAACATACCTCAGTGACTAGCCCTTATGGAATAGAAATTATTGATATCGACGAGAAAGAGAAAGTGGAGAAAAACAATCCTGCTAGAATAAAAACACCTAGAACGCCATTGCTTCATTCCAGCATTAACAAGACTTCGCCTGTAATTACTCCCATATCCCCAGTTACTAAACTAGAATTGCTGAATAAAAAACGGCAAGATAAGAAAGTCAAAGGTGTAGTTACCGAAGCTGAAAGAGATGTCACAGGGTCATCTGGTTCAAGGTCGCCATCGACAACAAAAGCAGAAGTCAACTGGCCTCAAAGTACTTTTATAAGGGCTGCATTGTCTGAAGTAAGTAAGTCATTAGCTGACAAACACAAATATTCCGGGCAGCGTCCTCCTTCGGAGGAAATTCCTTTGTTAGATTCAATGACTTCGAGTATTGAATCTCCGTCTCACTTCAACAACTTGGTCAAAAGTGAGTCAACAGAATCAGCAACCACGTCCTTTGTTCGTCCAGTAACTGCTAAAGTTCGGCGGCCAACATCACTAACAGAATCATATTCTGCTGAGGCAATAGAAGAACCCAACCTTAAGATAGATAGTCAGTCATCTGGGGCAGCCGTGGGGAGTATGGGTTCGAAACTCTCATCACAAACACCCGCTATTCTTCCTGTAAAGTCTGTGCAATTATCTCCATTACCCACAACTACCACATCATTTGTAAATAACAAACCACCACCGACATCATCAGCAGCATCCATATCCAAATATCCATTCAAGCCATCACCATCTCAAATTTCTCTGAACAGCGACAAAAATTTGAATAAACAAAAAATAACAGCATATGAAGAACGACAGACAAGTTTGCCAAAACCAGACGGACAAAGTCCCAAACTTCAGGAAAGAAAAAATAGCATGACAGGTTTAAATGGAAGGGAATCGGCAAGTCCAGGGAAAGCGAGTAGAGCCAGCAGCAAAAGTAGCCGGAACAATATCTCATCTCCCGCTCGCAGCATCGCAACTCCTTCAGAAATAGAAGGTCTGGAGCTAGAGTATGATGATTTTGTCGAGGATGATCCTTTGTCATATTTTGATTATGAAGAGACACAAAAGCTGGCATTCCGGGGGGTTGAGAAGATTGGAAAGACACCCGTAGAGGAAGAGGATGAGGATGAAGTTTGATGAGAGTTTGATTAGTTGAGCATCTGATGAGTGAGTTGAGTGAGAGAGATAGATATACCAGTGAGAAAGGTGAGTGAGAGAGAGAGATGCCAGTGAGAAAGTTGAGTGAGAGAGATATACTAGTGAGAAAGTTGAGTAATAGAAATATACTAGTGAGAAAGTTGAGTGAGAGAGATATACCAGTAAGAAAGTTGAGTAACGGAGATATGCCAGTGATAAAGTTGAAAGACCAGAAGAGATATTAATCAGGAAGGTAAAAACAGGTAATTAGGCACTGTAAAGCCAGAAAGAAAATGAGGGCCTTTCAGCTGAAATCCTATAGAAAGATTCCCAGAATACCATGGACAAGAAAGAGAAGAAATGCTGACATTTTAAAAGATCTGAACACCAAGGAAGATTGGCTAATAGACAGCACTTTGGAAGCTTAAATATTTTGTTCATATCAAGCACCACGGCGGATTGGAAACAAAAATATTAGCAGAAGGCATGGTACCAGGAAGGAGAGGCAGGGGCTGAACAACACAAAGATGGGCACAGGATATAGGTCACTCCTTGAATATGAAAGTGCGTGAGGCAGGAGAGCTGGCAAGAGGCTGAGTTTCTTTCAGGCAGACCGTGATAAGAGTGACGTTCTGCGAAGGACCTGCTACTTGATGATGAAAGCTAAAAAGAGGTGAGGCACCTGTTGTTCTGTATAGGTGTGCAGAAGTGTAAAGACATTGCTAGGTGAAAAGTAAAATGAGTGCATTATGAAATAAAGGTATGTAAATAAATCATGCATGTAACATAGGGGGGAGTCTAATTGTATCAGTTGTTTGCATTTCTAATGACTTTCATACACACGTTAATATATATGGTTGTGAATTCAGAATTGTAAATATGTTTATATTAAGGACAGCGGACCATGTTGCGTGGAAGGGGAGAATCAGGAAAATATAAGGGATAATAGAGAAAACTATTATAGATAGGTATGCAACCATAAAGTCCATCGCAACTGAATGCCAAAGGTGGAGAGAGCTAATCAGACAGTCAACAGAAACTGGTGACCCGAGGACACGCAGTGTTATGGGATGGTGATGACCCACATGTGTGTTCCGAGACTCTATTATGGTGGAAGGGGTGGGGGAGAAGAGAACAAGAATAGATCCACTAGCCTCTAACAAGCATGTTGTGAGAGTCTACCAATTAGGAATATTTCCTTCAAAGTTGGAGTGCATCTGCATCTGCCTGAGAAGTAAAGAACCAACAGTCTGCACACAGATTAGCCAGATCTGTAAAGCGGATGTGCACGCCAAACAAGATTTTAAGTCCTGATTTGGATGTTTTATTTGCAACAATGGTCTTTCTTATTATTATTATTATTATTATTATTCTTTGTATTTGTGATAAACTTGAATCTTTTCAGGAGTTCTCTGTTGGTTCCATACAACTTTGAGTACAGTGTAGACTCATCGGGCCAGTATTCCCTTCTTAATTGGCTGTACAAGGGACATTCTGGTGAACTATTTAGATGCTATGCTTGTTAATTTTATTGTGTCCACCTGCCCATACCACTCAAGTAAGTGGTAGTCATCTCTGACCAGATTCTGTTCACTTCTGATAGACTGGATATTCCTTTTCTTCTCAAAGTATGTTACTGCATTCTCTTCTAGTTCACATTCTGCTTCTTTCTTAGCAAGTTTATCTGCAGTTTTATTCTTACAGTGCTTCTGAAATCCCTTGCTGTAGTTATGGAGGATATGAGCAGCTCTTGCCATTCACACCCACCATCGCCATGCCTCCCAATGTTACAATCAAGAGGAGCAGTTTGATCACCTGTGGCTTGGTCTTTCTCTGGAAGATGGAAGTTTGGAAGGGCCGAATGTAAGACAGGCCTGCGTGCCTAATTTGTAACCCTTTGAAAATAAAGTTTGTTCGTTCTGTAGAACGGCTAGCCACCTGCCAAGGATGTCACACAGAGCACAAACTCTATAGCTCTGCTGATGATCCCAGTGATCTCATAAAAATTGCACAGGTGAACTGAATGACACAGCCATTAAATGAACCCAGAAACTTCAGAGCTCAAAGCAAATGCCTTGACCACTTGGGTGCAGAGACCAGCCTGTATTGTCTGGAAAGATGGAAGTTGCCTACCAACTTTATCCTCTTGCACATTCCTGCCATGCTGGAAGCCTCTACCTAAGTTGAGTTGAGTCAAGAATTGACATCATAGCACTCGGGGGATTCCCATGAGTGCTCCGTTCTTATCTTCAGCAGACTTCCGATACTGATGGTAAGTAAAAGTAAAGATCCCTTTCCACGTCCTCAGGCGTATCTAGCATATGGGCAGAGCGTCCCATATTTTTACAGACCATCAGCACTCTGTGGGTAATGTGGTCACAATTACGCTGGCTGTCTTTACTTTCCCAGGACAGCCCAGCCTGGTACCCATTTTAAGCTGGGTCAACCTGCGACGCCCCATACCATGATAAAAATCCACGCAGCCAGCAGTGGGTTTCGATCGCGGTACCCTGGATTACGAGTCAGACTCGCAACGCCTAAGCTATGAACGCCGCAATGCTGATGGTACCGGTCACAATCTGGTTTAATGTCTCTCTTGCCTTTGGCCTCTATCTAAGCAATCACTGATTATAATGATTAATTTTTTTCTATAATATGTGTGTGTATGTGCACAGAATATGTTTATGTGCACATAATGTGTATATGGGCACATGTGTATTATGTGCACAAAATGTGTATATGTGCACATAATGTGTAAATGTGCACATAATGTGTATATGGGCACATGTGTATATGTGCACATAATGTGTAAATGTGCACATAATATGTATAGTGTCACAAGTGTGAAGTTAAATATTTGGGGAGAGCTGCATGAAATGGGGGAAGGATGTAACGGCATGAGTTGGTTGAGGGCCTCCACCATATTGGCAATAGAAGGCAGAAGAATAAAACGTATATGTGCACATAATGTGTATACTTGCACATGTGTAAATGTGCACATAATGTGTATACTTGCACATGTGTAAATGTGCACATAGTGTGTATACTTGCACATGTGTAAATGTACACATAGTGTGTATACTTGCACATGTGTAAATGTGCACATAGTGTGAAAACTTGCACATGTGTAAATGTGCACATAGTGTGTATACTTGCACATGTGTAAATGAGCACATAATGTGTATACTTGCACATGTGTAAATGTGCACATAGTGTGTATACTTGCACATGTGTATATGTGCACATAATGTGTATACTTGCACATGTGTAAATGTGCACATAGTGTGTATACTTGCACATGTGTAAATGTGCACATAGTGTGTATACTTGCACATGTGTAAATGTGCACATAATGTGTATACTTGCACATGTGTAAATGTGCACATAGTGTGTATACTTGCACATGTGTATATGTGCACATAATGTGTATACTTGCACATGTGTAAATGTGCACATAATGTGTATACTTGCACATGTGCATGTAATATATGTTCTGTGCACATAATGTGTATACTTGCACATGTGCATGTAATATATGTTCTGTGCACATAATGTGTATATCATGAAAATAATGAAGGCAGTCCTACCCGAGACAGATAAAAGCTTTAATTGATTCAAGAAATTAGATGCAGACAGTCATCAGCGTTTTGGGAGACACGTTTGAAGAAGAAATACTCCAAAATGTGGTGACAACTGGCAGGATTTATGGAAAAGGAGCAAGAGAAAGGCAAAAAAAATAATTACCTAATGGCGCACACACTCATGTGTGTGTATGTGTAGTGTGGATATGGGGATTTAAAATTTAAACATTAAAGGTGTGATAGAAATTACAGTCACCATACCATTGTCTTGTAGTCTGTCATTATTGTTGTAAAGGTTGTCAAGAGTGTTAAGCATGGGAGATTTGTGCCTGACTAGTTCATGAACAGTCTATTACAGAAGTCACACCAATTTTGAAACTTCCTACTCCACTGATACACTTGCAGGACTGACAGGCATGTATCCATATGAAACCTTTATTTGCCAGTGAATTTCTCTGCTTCACCCTTTCACTAATTTTTAAAAAAACGATAACAGAACTCAGCTCCTCTTTGAATGTCAAGAGTGAGGCGGCCATCTTTACACTGTCATGACATCACTGTTCATTTTTTCCCTTATGCTTAACACTCTTGACATCCTCAACAACAATATTGATAGGTTTCAAGACAGTTGCTTGGTTACAAGACTGTTGCGTGGTTACAAGACAGTTGCTTGGTTACAAGACTGTTGCATGGTTACAAGACAGTTGCAAGGTTATTGTAATTGCTGTCACTTTCACAGTATTAATTTGAAGCTTCCTTATGTATGCGTGTGTCACAGTTATAAGGAAAACAGATCTCTGTGTCTCGTTGTGCCCCACCAGGACATCACACAAGCGATAAACACCTGGTGACTTAAAGTGTCACCATGCTGATAAGGATCACCCGTGGAGAGGTCCCAGAAACCCCTTTCAGCCATTAGGCCATATTTATGGCCCAGCTATATTCAGGATGCCTGGCAAAAGTCAGGGTGGGTCTTCAAATAACGAAACATTGCATCCCACACGGGGACGAATTTAGTTATGGGCAATATTTTGAGCACCATTTTTTTCACACTTTTAGTGCCAGCGCCTTTATTTTTTTTCTTTCTGGGAAAATAAAAACCCTGCAGAGAACTAGTTTCAAACATTTGCTGTGATGGCTGGAGTTGCTACTGTATGGTGAGGTCAGCAGTGTTAGCTGATTTTGATGATGTTGTTACTATAACCTGATTTTCTGTTGAGTTCCTGTCAGCATCTACTCTGACAGGACCAGGCCAAATGATTGTTTTAATGGGCTTTATTTGGTACATGGACTGGACACCCCACCATCTTTCTCTCTCTCTCTCTCTCTCCCTCCCTCTCTCTCTCTCTCTCTCTCTCTCTCTCTCTCTCTCTCTCTCTCTCTCTCTCTCTCTCTTCCTATGTCAACCTCCTCTCTCTG